ACTCCTTCAGCATTTTCATGATACCTCCACGAATTAAAGAACGCAAGTCTTCTTGACCATTAAAAGACTACACGGGCTTATTTCTGACGCCTGCTTTTTCGTTGTCGAGTAACAGAGGTGACTCATTGACAAAAAATGTTTCTATCAATCACACGGTGCACAGATCAAACGTTCACTAACCGGTGAAGCGTTCTATTCTCCTGAACATTAACCTCAACAACGGTTCACTTCATGAAGTCATGACAAGGTTCTGGAGTCACTCAATATCTCTGAGTGAGAGAAGCGTGGCGCACCCATTTGAAATTGATCGTTACAAGCTTTTCTTATGTTCCAGAACGAGGCTACATCGGAGCCGTCATTCGGAGTCGTATAGAAAAGCATTTTACCCTTCACAAAAATAAAATAAACTGAAGAAAACAAAATAATGACTATTGCTTTTCGGCTTTCGACTGTTCGACTTTTTTGGCTGTTCACAAATAGAAAATGAGGTATTCCGACTTTCAACTAAAGGAAAGTTTCAAATGGAAAAATTCAGAATGCGAAGAATTGATGGAGAAGCAGGAAGGCCATGCTAGTCATCTGAATTGCCGTCAAACAAAAGAACGTTGCTATGGAAATTACCCTATACTGCAATGGAGAGGTAATGATGAAATAGAGTTAAGAAAGAAATTCTGAATAATAATAATTAAGGTGAGCGGACAGTTCTCATAGGGAGCACATCGAACGACTGCAATGGAACAATCTACTGAAAAAGGTCGATAAGAATGCGATAAGTGAAGCGCTCTATTGACGACACAATTATGCGCCGTAGCTTTCACTCCCCCACTGCCCCCCTCCCCTCCCCGATATTTCAGTAGAATTTCCGAAACAGTTCTCACAATACTGAAAACAATTTTCTGTTTACACTAACGACCTTAAAGGTGCTAAAATATTCTTATATTGGGCGTATACTCACCCACACCAGTCAAGCCTTTTATCCCTCGGGGTCGGCCAAGCACCAGACCAGTCTGGGAGAGTAAGCACTGACTTGTACATCGGCTGGTTGAGTGCGGGGCGCACACCTTGAACCCGATCGGTTAACAGCGAAAAACTCCACCCTCTTGCTTTATACTGCAGTACTACCCAAAGCATTCCTGTACTAGTTGCAGCTCCCGAATGATGAGGATCATATGAAGTCTCAATGTATCAGTGGAACTCATTGAGACCTTTTTTTCGTTAGTCAGGGCTGCGGAGCACCCTCGAAAAAGCCATCAGACTACTTCGGAAATCAACATTCAATCATGATTGAGTAAAAGTAGGAAGGGCACTGGAGAGTGATGATAATGCTTCTATTCGGAGGCGGTACTCCAATAAAAACGTTAATACCGAGGATTAAGAGTTGATTGCTCGATTCTAACCCTTTTTTTCATAATGATGACACCGAATGCCTTCTTCTGCAGCACCTAAGCACCTTTTCTGCAAGCATTCCTTCAGACGTCTCTTATCTTTAAGCCACTCTATTCATGGATAGTAGAGTTCCAAGTCAGTGGTTTGTGCTATTTATTCCATTTTCAATTTCCTAGTCTCTGAATTCAGTATATATAATGAAAATTATTGTATATATAATATATATAATATATTTAATGAAAATTATTGCATATAAATAAAATAATTTGATCAAAAACCACCAAGTCATGTCTTTCTGATACGACATTTGGTCTTTTTAGATGCTCCAGAGAACGAATACTTCCGAAGTAGCTTTGTTCCCTGGACTTCTAGAAAGCAAGGCAACGAACTAGGCAGGAAAACATCCCATCAAAACCTATTCATGATCATAAAATTTTCCTTTTCATAACGTTCGTTATAGCTGTGAAAGCTAATGAGAAGGATAAAGGATAAAGTCTTTCGGCGTTAATCAACTCCGTTTGAGGAATCGCCCCACATTTGATTTCAATTCAAAATCGTAGTAGCGTTTTGGATGCGTATATGTTCTATACATGACTTGCAGTGGCGAGCCGATGTACAGGTCGAGGCTTCTATCCTCACAGACAAGTCTATTTCCAATTTAGGTCTGTTGCGACCGACTCTGGAGGGATGGAAGGCTTGATTGGGCTAAGCGGATATTGATCAGGATTCAAACTCGTGACCGTTATGGTGAGAGATAGTGCACCTATTGTCACTACACCATCCCCACTATGAATTATAATAATGCCATGTGGCTAAGATTAACTATAGATAAAACTTTTATAAGATGACATCATCACAGGAAAGTGAAAGCTATGGCATATGGCAAGGGGTGGTGCCTTCACTACGGATGAACAGATTGATTCTCCAAAACCTATCTATAATAAAAAAAGAACAATGAAGTTCTCGGCATGGTCGATTTTTCGGAGTGAGCCAGGCACCCGTCTTCCATAAAGAATCGGTCAACTGTTCTTGGGAAAAATGGAAAAAATGGGGAATTTCAAAAAAAAAAAAAAGACAAAAACAAAAACATTATTCTTAAGCGGAAAGCGTAACAAGCATGATGTTCGGAACAACATAGCCACAACAAGAGGGATGCCTTATTAACGAATTCCTTGAGAGAAGATGCCAAATCAATACGCAGTCAGCGAGAAATCCAATCGAGGGACATAAAATGCATAACAAACAGAATTCCCCATAGATGGACCATCAAAAAAGCATTCTCAATCACAGAAATCGATCGGAAACCTCTCGGTTAGGAACTGAAAATCGTTGCTGGCTGACAATTGTGTGACAGGGCGGAAGCAATCTTTGAGCTGCGGTTGCGCCATGTTTAACTAGGTTTCACGAGACCATGTTGATTATTTGGCTCGATCGCGTGCAAACATCGCAAAGTGTTACGAGCAATGTTCGATAATATGTAGAAACTTGAAAACATAATATTTGAGAGACATTAGATAGTTAATTTCCTTTTTTAGATTGGTTCGCTATGTTCTGTACTACTACACGTGGGCGCATTACTTGACCACCAAGCGCGCGGTTACGTAGCGATCAACGTATCGTAGTGAATTGTGTATGATAAGGCTATTGCACAACATGTTTACCTATTTGAAAGTAAACATCTAATATATAAAGCAAAAGTTGTCGAACAACGAAATACCCCCCTTACCCCCCTCCCCACACCTTCATTTCTGCTACGGCTTTTAACTTGTTGTACTACATGAATGGAAAGGGAGGCGTGAAAGATTTTTCAGAGATCCCTCGCTTGTTTATACTAGACCACATCTAATGATATCACCGATTTTCCTCGATTAACAACAACTAATAGGGGCGGTCCTTATTGTGGACGAGTCATTTCCTGTTTCTCATAGCCTCTTGTGTCATCTGCAAAGCATATCGACTCTGCTGTCACCTCTTTACAGCTGACTGCCGCCAAAATCCTTTTCATTAATGAATGTGTTCCACTGAAACATTTCCGTAGTTAAGCTCATATAGCTACGAGAAAAAGGTCTCATTCAGTCGAGATCCTTCGACGACCACTTAGCCATTATAAGCTAAAAAGCCAAAAAGAAAAGAACGGAGACGCTAGCCGTCAGCTGCGCTTCTAGGATGCGTCATGCATCCGAATTTCATTTAGAACAGCGGAAAAAGCGAATGCGTTTCTAATCTACAGAGTAAGGATCTTCCGACATTCGTAACAACCGGAGCTTCGAAGTTGCAAGATTTTCTTTTTATGAAGACAAGTATCGAATTCACATGGGCTAACAAAAACACAAAGAATGAGACTGAGAACCTCTGAACTATCCTAAATTTCGGATTCGGTTACCTTAAAACGTGAAACAGTACCCAATCAGTTACTTTCAAAATTACAGTTACCTGTCTGACTCACGAGCATAAGTGTCGGGTGCAGAGGAGCGGAGGAATGACGTCTGAAACACGTGCAGTCACCAGCTCCGTGGACCGCAGAAAATCATAAACCCATCCCTAAAAAAGTTTGCATCACCACAACACCTGTTTATCATCGATGCAGAAATAGCGGGATGAAGGTTTGGTACAGGAAATAAGAAGGACCTTCGGAGGAAAGCCCACAGCAGTTAAAGATTGTTAAGTTATTAACGAATGGAATGGGAGGCCGGTATAAATCACTCTCCGGCATACGTCACGCATCTCATTTCCATTCCAAAAACCTGAACGTAATCAAATGGTCATCAAGTCGAAAAGAAATTGTTATAAACGTCGAAGTTTGAGTCAATTCCAGCCCTCACAGGGAATTAGATCCTTACAGCACCACTAAGGAGCGTTATATGTTACAGAGGCTCGGAGCCGCCAGCCATGTGAGTGCCGTACTGCGCGGGTATACAACTCATAAGGGAAACCCTTATTCGAAGGGACCTGAAAACTCTGAAAATCTTCGAAATTTGTCAAGTATTACCCAAAGCCACGGATTTTGGAATGTTTCCCAGGTTCCCTTGACAGATGACTATAAATATAAAAATGCTTTTCGAAGCCAAACCATCAAATGAAAGTAATAAAAGTCAGAAACCCAAGTGGTAAAAAACCGCTCAACAGGAGAAATCCCAGTTTCAGTCGATATACTAAAATACACCGGGAAATGCATTCTATTCGCGTATATCCCTAACCCAGGTGATTTGTAAAGAGACCTCCGTACAAACTACATGGGAAAAGAACCGCTCGCTTTGAATCAATGGACTAAACCACTAAGCTGAGTTGTGTGCATGGCGGCGCTCCTCACCTCCTTGGGAGAGAGAAACAATGAACTACTTAAGAAGCTCACGAGAACATAAATTAGCGATCGTATGGCTGACAGATATTCATCGAAACTTACGGATTTCAAAGCCTTTCAGTTAGGCCTTTGGCAGCGAAGGAACGAATTTACAAATTTTTATTACATTTTTTGTTTGGAAAAAAAATTCAGTAATCGGCCAAGTAAACGAAAAGTGTACCATCACAGATGAGCTAGACGATTAAGATGCACAAATAGAACCGGAATAGACAGTTCTTTACATTGATAAAACATTGCACAACATTGTAGTTTCTCAATTGTCCAGTACCATCCATCGGTGTTGCGTAGCTGACACCTTAGCATCCCCAAGAGGTTCTCGAATTCGAATTTTCAGCGTCAGCAGACCACCAACGGCTTTTCGTCCTTCCTTCAAGGGCAGCGATTCCTCGAGTAACGCGTTTGACTCCAAATGGTCCAATTTCCATTCGCATGTACCGAGCAGTTTATCACTTCTCAAAAAACTACCTTTCTGGTACACCTGAAAAAAAGGTATTGTGAACATCATAATAACTGAGTATATAGGAAACCTATTAATATTATCGCATTTCATCAATGAAAGTAGTATAATATATGGGCCACAGCGGCTCAGTGAAGACCGACCGCATATCCATGGATCGGAGCCTCCTTATCTGGCCCAGCCGTGATAGTAAACTCGTCCACGTCAAGATATTTACCACGCGTTTCTAGAATACTTACTTGCTAGCAATGAAATACCGTACCTCAAGTTTTAGTGGAATCCTTTTCAGCACTCGCATTAGTTTGAGCCCCCTGCTCTTTCGTGTGCCTATCTGCAGTACACAAACTTCACCGAATTCTGGAAAAATATCAATCATACAAAAATTCACATCATTCATGATGACTGGAAGTTACGAGCAATAGTTTTCACAGTCAAAGCAATGGCAAAAATCGTCCCTATATCGCTTATCCGAAACTTCCATTTCTTTTTTTCGCGTTGGTTAGGCTATGAACTTCCATTCAAGAGCAGAAATAGCTCACTGGTCAGTTTTTCAAACCAAACCCATCTAGTCTTCGAGATCTGGTTTTACCCGAATTTCTGATCTAATCAAATAATATTAGTAAGACCTGGTGGGATTAAGAATCTTCAAAACTTCGGGCACCAATATCATCCCATCAACCGCTAGAAAACCTCCTCAAAGCTGAAAACTTGGGCTAAAAATGAAGTTTTATGGCGAAAAACAGCCATTTAGCCTGAACAAGACGCAGATCGTTGACAATCAAACGCTTCGGAATTTCAGAAGCGCTGACGCTTCACAAAAAATAGGAGTTGAGGATAATAGGCGATTATCTTAGGTTCAATTTTGTACATGCTCATCGGAGATCCAATATAAAACAACAGGAAAAATAATTACATTTAAGCAGCAGAAAATAGAAAAAAGAAAATGTTTTCTTCCAAGCATCAGAAACTTCAGAAAAATTAGGTAGCTTTGGAGACCGAATCGTATGAAAACACAAGCGAACCTGGGTGCTGAGTTCCGGAAACGTATTTCGTTTTGCCACTTTGATTCGCATCAGACGGATATGGGAACGTGTATTTTACAAACAAATTAGCATCCGAAGGTTCATAGCCGGAAGGTAGGGGTACGTCCCTGAAAATGTATTCAAAGATTTCGATGAAACTTCAACAAGGATCAAAAAACCATCTAAAAGTAACCATACCTGCAGCGAATAATTGAAAGTTCCAAAACGTCTTCAGCGAGATCAGGAAAGAGATCGGCACAGGGAATGTGTCGCGATTCATAATGGAATCTACAACATCAATTAAGACAACGCACATCAAAAAGCAGACCAATAAACAAAATCGCATAAAGACAGTGAATAAATGAGAGAAAAAAGCAGACTTGGGTAAATTTAATCCTTGCTTGGCCACTTCACGAACAAGTAACAAGTCTTGCTTAGACGCTTTAGCCCATTCTTCAAACATTTTCACCTAAACCGGATTGATGAGAAGGAGCGCCTAGAGACATCCACGACACCTAGACCTCGGAGACAGGAATTCACAAAACTTCAATTTGAATATTCCTTGCGAGTCTTGAGGAGGAAACATGGAACTTGAGAAGATATGTACCTTTCCAACATCTCCCAGACGAGTGAAACGCATCCGACTATTCTCTGCCAGTTGAACCTGCTCGATTAAGGCTTTTTCCATCATCGATAAAGCTTCCCCTCGACCTGAAAAATTAATATTGGCTCTGTTGAAAAGTAATCCTACACTATCTTCACAATGGCAATTCCGGTCGTTGAAGGATTGGACTGAAGGTGAACTCAGATTGAAGGGTATTTTGGGAGCCAGCTACGTATACGGCTTTTACTTTGGATAATCAAGTAGAAAGATAGCCCTTTATTTTGGATAATCGAGTGAAAAGATAGCTTACATTAGACAGAAGAAATAAAATCAATACCCAGAAGAAATAAAATCAATACCTTCAATTCCAGTAGTGCTCGCCGCTCCAGGAACGATTCGAGGTTGAAGGGTGGCTTGAGATGTGGAGGCTTGGGGAGGGATTGGAGTGGATTTGATCGAGACCGGTAGCCCAGATTGGGCAGCTGCTATCATTTTATCAAAACCCTGAAGAAGGTAAAAAGAGCGTTTGGATTCTCTTGAGACTTGCAGCAAAAAACTTATGGAAAACCCACACAAAAAAGCAAAGCGTGGACAACCATTTAAAATCCGCGTAGGGCCACGTAACAAGGCCCGCGCTTACGCTTTCAACACATTAGACACAACTTCATAGAAACGGATAGGCACTTCAACTTAAATTACCTTAGATTCGAGTAAATATTTTTTAGCCAGCTCCATATTTCCCCTAGCCTTCGCCTGCATCGCCGCATGTCTGAATTCGCTTTGACGTTTTATCAGAAACTCCAGTTGCGTTGCATTTCTTGATTTCCCAGGCTGTCCCGACGGGGCCAGTGGCCCAGTGGCTGGGGGCGGTCTCACTGAAACATATTCAGCTTGAAGAATAAAATTTCAGCAGTAATCTGTCCCAGAAAAAAGGCTCACTTCCTGGTGCTGGTCCTATGGGAGCCGCTGGTTTTTGAGGAGGTAAGGGTGGCATGTCGGGAAGTGAAGGGAGGTCGGCGACCGCTACAGGGCGTCCCGCCTTAGCATCTCGAATGGCTGCGGCGTACTGATCGGCCATTCGGTTGTTCATCCTTGAATATTTAGTTTTTCTTGTGGATCAATGAAAAATAGAAGAAAATGTCAAAAAAGATAATAAGAAAATAGTTCGAAGGAAGAGTTTTTTACTGACCTCGCCTTTCTGTCATTTCCGTCTTGAGCAGCCTTTTTTGCCAATGCCTGGAATCTCTCCATTCGGCTCTGTAGTCCACCAATGAAGGTTGCGGGTTTTTCGGCTTCAGCTTTTCTATAAGGTGGTGGAGATGGTGGAACGTCAGCTAAGTCGAGTTCATCAGCAGTGGCAGTGTCCAGAGCTGCTAACGCCTAGACAATTAGTTGTTTCGAGTTACGAACTGATCAATTATTTCCAGAGATGGTAGAAAAAGAGTAGCTAAGCAGACTACGAGGTAATCACTGTTGTAAAAAGTGATAGTTAGATTGTGAGATTCAAAGGTCATCTACTGATTAGGACACTTGGTTTTGGTTTGAACATAGGCAGATGGGCTCGCTCCAATAAACAAAGTATCATTGTTAGAGCAAGCCCACTCAATAAAAGTCCATCAGGTAAGCCGCATAATGTGTGGCAAATATACACCGGCACATAAGGCAAATGTCTAAGTAAGCGATTAATCATTACCCTGATCATCATCTCTACAGTAACAAAAAATTCAAGAAAGCACCTGATCGAACATTTTAGCCACTTCGACGTACTGTTTTGCAGCTGTTTTATCCATTGCTGCCACTGCTGCCTGAAATCTTCAACATTATCAACAAATTGGACTTACTAATCCTTAGAAAAGAACCAGAGCAACAGCATTGACTAAGCAATATCACTATTTTCTTCCTTCTGTCAAATAGGTTCAAATACTAAACTATAAACGAGAACTCACCTTCCCATTTGCAACGTAAGCGTCTCGCCTTCTTTTCAACACCTTCAAAACTTGCTCCTTTCTTGAATCGGCATTCTTTTGCTGAAACGCAATTGTTTTATGTGAGCAGGCCCTCCATGCCTAGAACTGACACCAACCGGGCTTTCTGGGGGCAAGGATGTTGAGGACATCCGCTTCGGAAGCGGTGGAGGCGCCGCTCCAGAGGTAGATCCTTGCATAATTCCTGAAGTGCTTCTCCTCGGAACTGGAGGCGGTTGTGATGCAGGAGGAGAAGGAGGAGCAGGGGCTCGGTGGGCAGGCAGCTGTAAACAGTTTCAATAATAATTAAGGGCCTTCTCTGGTGGCAATTCTAGGAAATTCCCAAAAAAGAGATACAGCTTAAAGACGAGAATGTTGAAAACAAAAGGCATAAGATGGAATCTGCTTGTTAGGCGAAAAATGACGAAAATTAATCAAAATTCGTCCAAAAAATGCTTGTTCGTCAAAAACGGAAGAAGATTAAAGATCTTTTCCTCTTGATAAGCACTGTAACGATGGATCGATCTACTTTTAAATACCACTGTTGACCAACCGGAGGTCCAGCGGGTGGCGCAGCAAAGGAAGGCGGTGCGGGCGGTATTTCTGATTCGTCAATACTTTCACCTCGTTCAGCTTTGACGATTAACTCTTTCAGCCTATCAACAGTTCGCTGATGCCTATAATATTATGATCGATATTGCTCACTGACACTAAATAAATGTTTAAAAATTTACCTTTTTTGTTTTGCAGTATTGCCTTCCTTGGTGCTTGCTGTAAGCATTTTTTCATAAACATCCATCAATCCTCTGAGTTTGCTAATCAGAGCGGTATCCTGTACACCTGATTGCGGCAGCCTGGGAGGTGGTGCATCCGGTACTGCAGGGGTTTCTTCCTCGCTGCTCCCTATGAGGCCAGACAACTCAGCCTAATATACATAAAATAAGGCTCAATTATAATAATGAAGAATAGAAAACATACCAGAAGTTCTGGATCATTTTCAAGAGCGCTCTCATCCACCTCTACATCATCAGCCAAAGCTTTCGAAAGCAGATTGGGGTCTATACCTAAAAAGATCCAGAGATGGTAATACACTTGGTCTCGAGGAGCGTTAAAAGTGATTTTTGAAAGGTATATTACAGAACGGAAACGGTCAATTTTAGTCAGTTAATTTTAATCAGTTCCCTCTCAAAATTAGTGCCCTTAAAGTATAACTTATCCTCATCTTCAATGGAGTTTGAGAATCAACGAGCGTAAATTGTACCCTACCGACTTGCGCGATCACATATACTTCACCATCATTGTACTGTGATCTGAGGCGAATGGTAATACTTATGACAAACAGAATAACTCTACTTGACAAGGTTGAAATAATTGTGAGTTATTGTGAGTTTGGTTCTCTTTCATTTCCAGGAATTGATAAACAAACCTAACGGAACACCGCCTCTTGGTTTGGGAGCCGTGACCCCTGTGGATCTTGCAGGTGGAGGAGCGCTTCGTCTAAACTGTAGGCACAGTAAACGAGAACATTTTGCTGATAAACAAGACATCAAGAAGAAAAACACTCCATCGAGTAGAAAACTGATAGTTATGACAAGTTTATGGTCATGTTCAACCTTTGTTTTGCCTCTTCTTCTTGCTGAAGAGCTAGTAGTTCAGCCATTAACTCTTCATCCTCTTCAACATTTCCACCATAGATAGTCTTTTCAATTTCAGAAAAATCCATTCTTTTTGTTTTGCTACCAGCCCGGAAACGTCAGGAAGTAGAGCCTATTAAGTTTGATAAAATGCATCTCAAAAAGCAAAAAGAACAGAGTCGGTCAAGCGCAAATGGACAATAAGTATTTTGTGTAATTAAAACACCTCACCTCCAACTAAATCTTCCGATACTAAAGCAATTTATTACATATCTCATATTAAAATACTCTGTTACCATTACCAGTATAGAAGCAATTTATGCTTAGTTGGGCAACATAGGCAAATATAAAAATATTAATATAGGAATATATTATAGGATTAGTTAGAAGGATCACGGGCTGGACCGATGAGATGGACTTTGCCGGTGGTTGGATCCACCTCGACCTCTATTCCCAGTTCTTTGAGAAGTTTTTGTCGATCAATGACACCTGTTGGCTTCTAAAAACAAAAGGGATTATAAAATGAAAACCTTATAAATCGTTCACATCATTTGGGGTGATGGGGCAAGAAAGGCAACAATTCCGTTCTGATTTCATCGCTTTCTACTTTTATGCCCGTAAGGGTGTAAAAGTTGGAGAAAGCAATGAAATCAGAACAGAATTGTTCACTCGCAAAAAAAAANAAAAAAAAAGCTAAAGAAACGAGGCAAGTCACCTGATCCATTTCTAGGATAAACTTTTGATTCTCGGGACATCCAAGGCATAAGTGACGTAGTGCAGCGATTGACCATTGAACCTTAAGGTATTTTAACTAATAACTGCAACTTCGCACAACTTTCTTTGAAGATGCTCATCAATTATGCAATTAACTATGCAGATAACAGAAAAAGAATCCAAGACAAAGTAACAAATTCGACTTGCTGAAAAATCTCATCTTAGAGGAACAACCTCACAACCCAATCCAGTCAACGAAACCCACAATGAAAGGCCTATCGTTTTCGGTAAGCCTTGCACATCGAAGTACGGCTAGTACTGCCCCTCTGGCACCAGCTGCAATCCGTAGCAGTGGTCTCTCACAGCAAAGATTACCTGAAAAAACGCAATGGTAAAATCTTTTCAAGCGTGGGCCAATAAACAAACAAACATTAAACAACATTCAAACAATAACATTTACATGAATGACAAAGAAGCAGTCAATAGTTATTGATAAATGATAAAGAAAGGGCAAAACTCTACCAATCGCTCGAACTGCTGCACATTTCAATGACGCTCGAACTTCCATTGGTGAGTCACGTATTGCAACTGATAGCGCAGTCAACTGTGGACATTCCTGTACTCGCATGCATCGTACTTCTTGCTCTTTCTGTGGACGATCTGGATGAGGTGGAGGTGTGGGTACAGCGCATCCTTCATTTTCATCAAGCCATTGCGCATCAAGGGTCTTAAAAATACAACATATGCTCTATTTATTGGAGATCACTTAAAAAAATTCTAACCGACTCCAGAATATCCACAATACTTTCGACGGCAGATTGCCGATCCGATAATTGTGCGGCATACTCCGTTTCTATCAAAACCGCGGAAGCTAAACCAAAAGTGGCGATCAATATTCATGAGAGAAAATTCGTAATCGATTCTCACCGATAATTTCAAGTGCGTATGCGATTTGCTCAACGAATGGCAGTCTCTTTTCGGGAGGCACTCCTTCACCGAATTCGTAGAGTATCCGTTGCAACATATCAAAGCAAAAAGAGATGTTGTTAGCATGAACCTGAACGTTTTATTGCCTTTTACTGGTTCATTATCCGTTTCGAGAAGTTTGATAAGAATAGAGAAAGACCCGCTAAGCCAAAGCCAGAGCGATAACTATAAGGAATGCAGACAATCAACCCAATGGTGCAAAGACTTGTCTCATGGTCAGAGAACAGTAGAAAAGTGAAAAACATAAAGCAGTCGAATGAAGCGAGATGTCATCTGTTTAAGGTGTAGTTTGAACAGTATGAAAACAATGTCGAAAAAAAGGTTGCAAAAAGTAAAACATTTCGCAAAAAGTATTCAATGACAAAGCATTTGTAATAACGCCAGAATTGCATCAATTTTCAAGGGAGTTAGTCCACGTCGCAAGCTATAAAAAGACGACTCAATGGTGCAAACAGTGAAACACACATGGTTCTGAAATACACTTAACTCCAGAAGTGTCAATCATTCGGAGGGTAAAAAAAAGATGACGAAGCGCGAGTTTTTATAGCCGGGAAGAAAGGCCTGGATCAAAGAATTCATGAGTAGAGCGGACGGACAAATCATAAATGATATGGGGAAAAAATTCGTAAGTAGAGTACAATTCAAGACCCACTCTTTGTTATGAGTAGTGTACAAAGGCTATAACTCCTATAACCCCCTGCAACTTAGCTTTGCACTTAATGCCCAGTACACGATATCTTCCTCATTGCAAGCTCTGAAGGCAAATACTCATTCTTTCTAGCAGCTCCTAGTATCGAACTTCAGTGTGACTTACGTGAACCGCTTACACACTTTCTAGGCGGAGAGATACGAGACCAAATTAGTCCAAAAAAATCTCATTGGAACTGAGCTAGGCTTATTGATAAGGAACTGGAGACGGAGAAAAATGGGAAAACCGAATGGATGGATTTTTTTAACAAATGCCAAGTCTTTGACATGAATCTGCATGATTAGGCTAGCGGTCTCGATCCNTACAAGCAAGAAAAAGCAGAAAACCTTAGTGACTGTTTCTCCATGGCCCACGTCCATCAGCACCTCCGTAATATGAAGAAGTGCAGTGAAGTCATCAGGTGGAAGATCGGCAAAGTTACTAGCAAGAAAGCCAAAATCCTGAAAAATAATTTTAAAAACTAGTTACCAGAAGATAATTTAAAAATTTACCTCTTCCAAATGTATGGATACCAAAGCCGATATCCAGGATCTGTCAGAATCGTTGACACTTTGCGACTCCCATAATAAAAAGAGCTCTCCAAGCAACGTTGTATAATCATCCGAGAGCCCACATGCTGAAGCGAATTAAACTTTACCAGAACAATATTCAAAAGTATTATTACTAACCGATTCGCATTGGCCTAGCCAATGCAGCCAGTGCTGCGAAGGTCTCTGTGTGAAGTTCAGGAATTCGAAGCAAAGTACGAAATAAAGTTAGACATTCCGGTGTAACACATTCAGCAAACCTAAGAGTAAAAAATCGGTTTTCAACAAAACCTAGTTTACATTGAGTTTGGAAATTACATTCAAACTCACTTTTTACTGCGATTTACAGCATTTATTAGAGTACGTAATGCCAGTCGAGCACGTCGGATATCAACGGTGGAATCATCATTATCAGCTCTACCTTCGAGAGCTACGGTCAAAAAGCCAAGCAAAGCACCTTTGAGATCCTTAAAAAAATCTGTTAGGCTGGTCTTCTTATTATCTTGAGAACTGGTACGATTTTTCGTTTGGAGTAATTTAAGCAGATGAAGCGTGTTACTCTGTTCCACAGTACGACGACTATGGCAAACACAAAGGATATCTCTACAGCTGCAGCATACCCAACCCTTTCTGGTAACCTACTCCCTTGTAATCTAAGTATCTGATCAAGTAGAAGCCATACGTTAAGTATTAAGCTACACGTCTATAGAAGAAGGTACTACCATTCGCAATATGTATGAGGAGACAAGATTTATTAATATAAATTCTGAGGCCATATGTCGCCATAGAAACGGCAGTTAGGTTTTTTGATAGCAAATGACAAATGATGGATACGAAGGTATAAAAATGGTCAACCGTAATTAGGAACCGTAATAAACAACTGCGCGTATTTCCTTCCACTTCAATAGATAAAAAATCAAGACGCCTTACTCATTCGTTTTTGGAGTGGGNAAAAAAAAAAACTAAAGGCTTAGAAATTGGCCAGAACTTACGCAGTTTTAAGACACTAACTCTTCGAGAGCCTGGTTTTAAAAAGCCATAATTATGACCCCAGGTGGATTGCAACGAAAATGACTTCGCCATAAAGTACATACGTACCTGGACCCCTTCAAATGCTTGAACCGACTGCTCATCAGTAGCACAAAAACGGCATGCTTTAGACAAGTCTGTTGTTGATGCTTTCACCGGACTGCTGAATACTCGCTCAACGGCTGTGTATAGCTCCGCGATGTCTAACATGCGACCAGAGTCGCTGAAAAGTCTCCTCTCCTCGATTTCGGGAATTAACATTGATCCTGATCTTCAACGTTTAAGATAAATGGATGGAAACCCTGAGAACACAACAAGTAAATCATATGTAGAACATTTATTTGTTCTAATAACACTACGGGCTTCACATGCCGCGTCTGACGGTGTGAACTAAACATTTGGTTTCAAATTTAAAGTAAATCTATTTGGAGACAAAACAATGTACGACTAAAACAACCTAGTAAAAATGCTCTCTATTCTAAACTGAACGGAAAAGACTAGTCCAAAAAAAACAAAAAGAAACCCAACAATTAAATGACATCAATCATGAACTGTACTGTAGAAATTCATGACAGCGTCTGGTGCACCACTCGGAACAACTCTTCGAAGAGCCTCGACATGCATAACTTTTCCCATTTTGGCTTCCTAGGAAAAAATTCCGCAATTATAAGGGAATTATCCGTTCGAACTAGTTTATGCTTAAAAACTTACAGTTATGAACGTCAGCAGATGTTTCACACTCAGTTCTTCCATCAAAAGTTGCGAAGCGATTCGACACTCGTACGTCATAGCTATCAAAGCCGTTATAAACAATACCCGCAGAGACGCTCTTGTTAAATAGTAAACCGGTAAGGACGCTATTACGGAGAGCAATGATCGTTGTCCCCCGAGAACGCATGACATCTGAAAAGGTGCGGAAATCAAAAAACAAAACAAACAGATGCCAATTCAAAGTTATTTCCTTGCAGCAATTCTATAATTTCACAGTACCAACCAAATGCTTGGCAGAGGAGTTATAAAACCATACCTCCCTATGCAACTGATATATCTCAAACAATGATTTCCTAGAAATTTACTTTTCATATAATATCCATATATAATATAACACACAACACAAGCATTACACCTCGTCTCATGACCCTGGCACAAAGCCTAAGAGGACAGAACAAATATGAGAGTCAGTTTGAACTGCGATAAAGGGAGTCTTATAAAACAATCTTTCAAAAACCATCGGAATCTCGCAACAAGTAGAGAGCCGTAAATATCCTAAAAATTGCTTTCGTACAAGGCGTAACTTATGATCACCGTTTACGAACTCTAACTTAACGATTGCATATTTGACAACAGCTGCTAAACTAATTCAATGAATAGTCAAGAGATAATTTGACACCTACTCAGTCAAAACCTCAAAAATAACGGATACCTGATGATAAGAGTCAAAAGCGGCATAGAGACCGACGAGTTCAAGAGCCAATGCAGACAACGATGAACCAGTACCGTCCTTTTCATCATTTCTGATAACATGACCAAGAAGCAGCAAAATGCGAAAACTGCTCCCCGGCTCTTCCATTAGCTCCTAAACAAAAAAGGAAATAACTGATAGAAAAATTAGAAGTTCAGTTTCAAACTTTACCTTCCATGTGCGGGAGTCCTTGCTTAGACTGTTACACATTCTCAAAGCCGTGCAAACGAATTCCTCGGCATGTACGGAATCCGAATCTGCCTTCGATGTGTCTAACGATAAACATCGCAGAGCACATGTGGATACCTTCAGAAGGAGAGCACAGTATGACGACGCAATCGTAGCCCTAAAGCATTAATTCAGACAATGAAAAAATCAGTGTCCAGAAAAGTTCAACATTTCATACGTGTCTTCACTGCAAACTCCAGCAAACTCGGAATGAAGGGAGTTGAATCTGGTGAAAAGGGGTTGCGATACTGATGGGTTGACAACTGTTTCCAGAACTTGCGGCAAACGGCAAGCCAGCAAGTAGCTGAAAAAAAAATACTTACCAGTTGCAATGGAAAACCATCCCAATAAAGATAACAGTGATTAGGTTCCAGAAAAATGGAAAAAGGGGTAGAACCCAATTACCATACTCTGAGATAATACAGAACTGAGTCATCAAACCAGTACCTCGCCATCATGCTTATACGGACTTCCATCTCATGATTGTCCACGCCAGATAACTGCCATGCAGATGTATTTCGAGCACATTTAACGATTGCCAGCAAAATATCCAGTAAGCACAGCAGCTCCGAATCATGTTCGGGTTTCTGAAAAACCAAAAATTAGGCCTCCAAGGTCAACCAGTCTTATTGGAACGCTATAGACCCAAAATACACTGAAAAGTCGATAGAACTTACAGTCAGGTGATACAGATATTTGCATTTGACCTGTGGAAAACATTCAGAAAATTGGTAAACCTATTTTCAACGTGCGGCGAGTGATTAATGGCATTTGGTAAACATTTCCCAAGGTCATATCGACGGGGCTCACTGTCAGACGATAATAGCAGATCGTTAATAGACAAAGGTTTTTCGCTTGCTATCAACAAACAGAATAATTCCATGTTGTTTCACCAATGATCCTACAACGGGAACTGAGAGTAAGGAAAATTCTCTTGCACTGAATAGCTTTATTCGCTATTATTCAATCAAAACTCGTTATATACTTTCATATGAACCTCACGGTCCTTCTTCAAAAGAAGCACTTAACATGAAAGCTCTAACTAAAGAAAAATCAGCCGACGAATTACAAGGAGATACTTGGGCAGTAGATATATTTAGGTAGGGCCAACCAAAAAGGAAGTAGGACAGAAGACAAAAAAGAAAAATAAACTGATGACGGAATAAAACTAATGATTGGTAAAATACTCGCCTTTAGCAACGCAACAATCCCATCCATCAACTCTACAAGAAGTTGCGTGAACAAAACGGTTCGACAAAGAGAAGGAACGGAACACAGCCTGCACACTAATGACGATAATTTTTGTAGCAACCTGAAACGAGGGTTCCACAGGAAAAACCTATCTCACTTAAGTTAACACTGAAAACAAGAAAGATGGCAAATCAACCTGACAGTCGCTCCTGTGTTCGTCCATTTCATTTGGAAATACACCATGTTCGACAAAAAGGATGAACTTGTGAATGGACGAACAAGGTTTGTTGAGAACCATTCCTGAAAAAACACTCCCCAAAAATGAATTGGGAAGGACAGAAAGATTTGTCATTCAAAGTTGACTAGAGCAAACATTTGAAAGCAGAATTTTATCGATGTTATCATTTAAAAGCAGAATGGCTGCAAAAAAATGGCTGCACCGGTACCTCCGATTCGCTCTCTCGGGAGACTTCCCCCAATGCTCGTTCCAATACTTGTAGTGCGGAGTCCTCGAGTCTACCTTGTTTCTGCTGGAATTTACTTATCGCATTCGTTAAGTCACGAATACATTTTGCCTGACGAGAATTCGGAGATGGCGGTTTTTCCTCGACTTCAGCGACCTTTTTATTTCTGAACAGGTTTCTTTATAGAACAAAAGAGAGTCTACTTAGCAACTCTGAGAAGAAAATTACCTCGCAGCTAATCGTTGCTTCACTTTCGCTCTTTTCTTTCGCCACACTGATTCATCGTCCTGACTTGGTTCACTGCATTGAAGTCCAGGAGACTGAGTTAGTGAGCAAAATTCCTTCTCCTGAAGCATTTTACTAGTATCCGAATGCTGGTAAGCTGTCTACGTTGACCACCCACTAGATCATCAGTCGATACGGTGCGATAGTCGATACTGGTTTTTGAGAGATGCGTCTGTGACATGACATGAGCTACAGCTTCGAGTTCCATGGGAATCTGAAAAAAGTGATGAGAATGAAAGTTCTTTAATCATTAGCTGATAATATCCAGTGATCTCTCAAAATTTTTAGAATGCTTCAAAATATTAGCAAATAGGCATCTAGGTATGATCTTAACCGCATCACCTTTCACAGAATCGCTCACCTCAGAATTGCAAATCCCACACTTGAATGTTGTTCCCTGGCTCTCCGATGGCCAGTGGGTATAATCTACAAACGACCACGACCATCTGCATCCAGATGGTGGGCGTGGAGAAGAGAACTCTTGGGCGCGTATCCGTACATCTTCTAGATTCTGCTCATGACGTCGAGAAGTTGATTCAATCTAAATTATGATTATAACCACCATAATTGGAATCCAATCAATTATTCTACCTTCTCCTGTATTCGTTTCCTCAAGGACTCGTTCTCTTCAGCATCAGCCAATCTCAGCTCTGTTAGTTTTTCTTGTTGCAGCTTTCGCTTCTCACTTCGCAAACGTTCCTGTTCATTTCTCTGCGCGGCTAGCTGAGCATGACGAGCTTCCTTCCGTTCAGCGATCTCTTGAAGTCGTGCGATTCGCTCCTGTGTGCACTTATTTTTACAAAATTGGTAGGAAAAGAAACAGCTAAAGGATGTTCATTTTGAAATTTGGATTAATTTCAGTACTGAGAGAATTCATTAAACTTAGGTCTGCCTCGAATACAAAGAATCAAAAAATCCCTCTACTTAGTTCTTTGAAAATTATGAAAAATTATAAGAACTTACACATAATGAACTTGTAAAATGCATGAGGGAAGGAACATGAAAAGGATTCATCTTCAAAAACAGAAAGAGCAAAAAACTTACCATTTCAGCCACTTTACGTCTTTCTTCAGCCGCATGCTCTTTCGCCGCCTTCTCTTCCATCCTTCTTGCTCGTTCCTCCGCCATTGTTTGCTTCCTTTCTTCAACCCCAGCATCTCTCATCCGCAAATCGAGTAACATATTTCCTCCTTGAAGAGAGTTGATGAATTGAACTTCTAATACCTGAAAACGCCGACTCGAATAAAAATACCAAAGTTAAGCGATACATGAAGTAAGATGTGAAGCTGTGAAGCATTCTGTCCACTTCTCAATTGTGGAATTGATAATGTCACAAGATGTAAATCGTGTGAACTCACCTTCTGTTCATCATCCTTCGCCTTTCGAATAATTTCCGTTATATTTTTCTCACGATTTTCCTGTGCTCTTTCCATTCGACTTTCTAACAGTTGCCTTTTCCTCTCGATCACTTTCTGTCTCTTTTCCCGAACCTCTTCTACCTAAACCACCATACAATATGATCGAACCCAAACTCTCCTGCATGTTTTCATAAGAAAAAGGAGTGAGTCATACCCTGCGCGCCAACTCTCGTAACCGTGCCGTCTTTTCAGCCTGCAACTGTGCCCTCAACTCTGTGGCTCTCCTCAACTTTTCAGCATGTCGTAAAGAGAAATCGGCATCATTTTTATCACACCTCAAAATAGCTACAATTGTGAACGCCATTGGAACAATTCAAAAATGTACCTTCTTCTACTTGGACTGCTCATTTTCTCATGTCGCTCCGCAACTGTGCCCGGTTCGCGGTACGGAGGCATTAGTTCTTTACCGACTACTTCGCTCCACGTCAAAATAGGTCGCCGTCGTATCTCTTCTGAAAATACTGTTCAATTAGATAATAGACGATACAAATCAACCCTAACTTAGGATTGCTGATTACCTCGATTACGATCTGCTTGCTGCCCAACAGTACACGTAGGCGAATCATTCTCTGGTTGTTTACTCTGTAAAATGCAGCGATATTTTGAACAAAAGAATATCCTTGAATGGATAAAACCCAAATTTCACAAAAAACGCAACCACTTGCGTTTCCTAAACAGTAGTGCACGTCTTTTGAAGTTCACCAAAACGATGCACAATCATGAAANAAAAAAAAAGAACACAACCAAATGGAATCCCAGGAACCTGATTCGCTGAATGAGCGGCTTTTTGAGAAAGCTCAAACTTCTCCAATGCTTCCGCTTCAGCAGCGACTTGACGTTCTAATTCGACGTCAATGGAGAACGACTCTTCCTACAAAAGACTGTATTCTCCATGTTCTCAACAAGAAAGGTTCATTGGAGCTGCTAGAACCCCTCACAAGGTTGCACGTAAACCTAATTAAGCTTACGAATAAGCCAAATTGCCTTCTCCCGAGCTTAAAAAATAAACTGATTGGTTCCTTTTAGGCACCAATAAGGCAAAATTTTAGCTTTGTTTGTTTTACGTAACATCCTTGCGAGAAGATGTAACAAAGTTTATAGCTTCAATTTAGGTAACTTTCCGCTGATCCATAAAAAGGAAATGCAAAAACATACATGCTCAATTTCAAGATTGAGGCTCTGTTCTTCTAGTGCTAATGACTCTTCTTCCTCTGTCATTTCTTTCCACTCTACATCATCATCTAGTCCAAGGAGCGATGAAACTTCGCCGAATGCAGGCTCCGACCTGCGAAGAGAACGAGTGAAATTAATTAAACCGGAGAACATACATTTCATCTAAATTACCTGGTAGTCGAAAAACGGACATTGTCCCGGTTTGAATCCGTAGGAGTTGGATCTGCCGGAACGGTTTCGGTTTCATCGACTTCGCCTACTTCATTAATCGATTGCAAAGATCGATCAACTGATGGATTCCTTTCACTTGCCGGTGCACTATCGCATTGGAGATGCTGAAAAGATGAAAACAAAACGATCTGATCATCGCGAAATCGCTACAAAATGCCACAAAAATTTTACCTGTCGGAAGGAGTTGCCATTAGTTTGATTTGCAGGGCGATCAGCAAAATGTATTCCACAACGAGTAGGACCAGCCCGTCGTCGTAACCGTTCAACTCTCTCCATACGTTGTTTTGTACGTAATTTCTCTGCCAATAATGACTGATTTCGTTCCCAGAGTAATTGCCGACTGTAGGCCATTTTAGCCATCGAAGCCTCAAAAAAATGAACACAAGAATAGGAACCTTTTTGTAAAATACATTCTTCAGCAACATGCAAAGGTAGAAAAATCGAGTCAATCTGCTCTTTCTCATGCTGAATACCTTCGTTTGGGGGAGGTCCATTGCACTCTTCGGGCATGTAAGGCGTGCAGATTGCAAGCCAACGGTGGAGCGAATGCTGCTGGGCCGTGTAGATGGTGTTGAAGTATTGGAAACTGAGGGAGAAACAGTGCGGCGAGGTGCAGAGAGTCGGTCGTATACGTTGGGTCGAGGGGGCTTGAAGGATTGTCAATGAAGATAATCTTTTCGAGAATCAGAGTACATCAGATAGCTCATCAACTTACCTCAACCTCTCTTTGTTCGGGTGTGGATGCATCGTGTGCAACATCTTCATGAGAAGGTGCGACATCACCGGAGGAACTTGTACTTCTCTTACGGCGCGGTAATACTAATTGCCAGCCATCGTCTAGCGATACTGAAATAACCGTGTTCTACCTTAGAGCGGCGTATTATCTGAACATGTCTTAGACCACTGTGGATATTTGGAATGTCCATTACGAATCACCCGAAGCTTTCCTACAAGAAATGCGAAACCTTCGAGTCTGACGGTGAACTATCGGTAGTAGCACATAAATATAATAAATATCATAGGAATCCAACTGGTTGCTTGTGAGAAACTGGCGGGAAAAAGCTCAAAACGAAGCTACATGCTCGAAAAAAATTCGAAAAAAAAACAAGTCTTGAAGTCTTTTACTTGGACAGCATGTAAGGAGGAGCAAACACAATTCTCTAATGGGAATTCTAATATAAATGATGAAAATGGCAAGCATGAAATAAACCCAGAATTTTCTCACATTTCTTCGTCTACGTACATAAATAGATTGCTAATCCGAACAAAAGATTTAAGAGGGCGAGAAAAATCGCTGACAAGCTTGAAATGTTATAGAAGATCAACGCAAAAAATCTTACATCGAGCAGCTTCTTTGAAATCCTCGTCTTCTTCACATAAAACAGGTTCGTTCATAAGAAGCCCAGATCTGAATAAAACACAATGACACGACATGTGTTCGAGTTACTACGTTTTTTTCTGCTTAGAGAAACTCACGTAGGCATTGCATCCAGTGCGACTTGAACGGGTGAACGAGTAGATTTGCGAATTTCCCATGCAACAGCTTGTGGCCTATAAAATAACACTTATGAACATATTGATAAGATGTGCCGGATAAGAATTCGACGACACTGTGCCACTACAACGAATGAATTTTCATTTCCAGCAGCCCTCATTGTTTTTTCTTTTTGTTTTAGAAGATTAACATACGTTTTGAAAACCTGAAAGTTTCTCTCCAATAAAAAATTCTGTTTTTATGTTCTATCGAATATAATAACTTGAAATATATCGATAGCAGAATCACTGGGAAAGCAATAGGATTGTATGCTCATCCTAGATGAGCAAACCTCCGTGCTCCATTTGAAAAAGCTCAGACGTTTTTAAAATAACATGAGCTCGACTGGACTTTCATTTCAAAAATTCAATCATATGGAACGAAGCGACTTAAGCTTTATAGGTTTATAGGTTTATAGGTCTAAACCTATAAACCTATAGACTTAAGCTTTGAGGGCAAAAACTACTCCCATGCCTGGAAAATTCATTCGCTATTGTTTACTTCAAATTCAACCCATAAACACTTTTGCAAATTTCGATTTCATTAAGATTCGATAAATGAAGTATTTTGCACTTAAGGGAATGTTTATAGAAGCGATGTTTGTGTTTAGATGAAATTCTCATGCCCCCAAAAGAGGGTCATTCACCAAAAGTTAATTGGAACTAATAATGAGGTTATGCGTATCGTATTGGCGGGGGAATAGAAGAAGCTCCA